CGTGATTCCTCTATTCGTCTCCTCCCTCACGAGCCATTCACACTCAAAGCCCATCTCCTCTCATACGTATAGTTCGAACCTCATTGTCGCTCTCTCCCTGTCGCGCGTGAGAAGCCGGAGCCGAAATCCCCTTCTCCCCATCTATTTGAATGAACCCTCAACCCCTCTCTCTCGGATCGTGAAAAGATACAGGCGGAAGAAACCCCCCTCAGTCTTTCGCCCATATAGTTCGCATTCAGCCTCCACCGCCCGTCTCCATTTGATTCGCACGCCTCCTCTCAGTTCAGAAGCTCGTCGCCTACCTTGTTTCCCTCTCTTGAACACACGAGAAGCCCAGAACCGGAATCCCCTTCAGCTCATCGTTCCTCCCATTCGCGAACAGCCGACGTCTCCCAGAGCTTTCCTTTATCTTGTCCGATCTCCAATTCTAGAAACCTTAAACACATCTTTCGCTGCTGCGATTTGTCCAATCAAAGGTAACAAAGAGTGGTAAACTTTCTTCTTCTTCTTCTATTTCATTTATATCCATCTCTATGTCTTCTTGAAAGAATGAAAGAGATATGTGCCTTGGTTGTTTTCTTTAAAGGAAATTAAATAAAAAAAAGGATTTTATTTCTTGTTAACCTACGACAAGAGTTGGATCTGCATTTCCTTCCCTTGATATGAGTTTATTTTTATTTTTATGATTCAAATTTCTGTTAGATTTACAAAAGAATATGGATCATTTTTCTCTTAATTAAATAGTTTTGTTCTTAGAACAAATGACTTTTGAGTTGGGGAGTTTAATGGCTGCATCTATGTTATTTCGTATGATTGTATTGTCTTTCTCCTCCTCTAGTTTTTTTTTTTTTTAGAAAAGGGAATCGTAGGAAAGCAGTAATCTGAATTCCAACACAAACTTCATCTAAAATCCTAAAACTACAGTTATTTTTTTTTTATGGCCGATATATTTAATGAATAGATCAATTTTTTTTCAAAAATTTTTTTTTTTGAAAGGATTTTAATATGCTCAATGTTTTGCCGCTCATTCTTGATGTTAGATAATCAGCCTTTCTTTATAGTTATACAAATATATTTTGATATTCTTGTTACTTCGGTATAAAATTTTTGTGCTAACAGTAAAAAAAAATGAACCTCTATGAATATATTCATTGCTCTCATTACAATATGAGTATGGGCATATACATATCTATAAATTTACCACTCTTAAAATAATCACCCCATATCATTAAACTATATCTTAGTAGAGAGATGGAGAAAATAATGAATTCTTAAAAGCATAGTTATCTTTCATATACAAAGAATGTTGATTGGAAGAGAATTTGGAGATCCTTTTCAAACTGTTGTCTTTACTTTGACAATTTATAGTGACAAAGATTTGTATAAAAGTGATTGGCAATATTTGAGTGTATGATTTGAAAATTGAAAAAGGGAGTATTTTTAAAATTAAAGGGATTTAAGTGTGTGTATTTTGGAAAAGTGAAAAGTGGAGATTGTATGTTTTAAATGTAGAAATGTATGTTGGAAATATATTATACTAGAAAGGTGAAAGTAAAGTGTTTTGTTTTGTGAAAGTGTGCATGTTAGAAAGAGTGGTTTGTGTTAGATGGAAATTTGCTAGAAAATGGAAACATTGAATAGCAAAAGCCCTCTCCCTTTATTTCTCTCTCTCTCTTTTCTTCTTCCCCTTTCTTGTTACTTCGGGGTGAATGTTGGAAAAGTTTATAATATGAGTCTAAAAGCGGAATGTTCAAAAGGAGATCAACAGTACCGGAGTTCAAGCTCGAAGAAATGTACGTCTTTTATTTTTAGTAAATTTCAATTATTTTATTATCATTTATTAAAAGTGCTTCTAATTCCCTGCTTCCCTGTTTTTTTGTTTTCTATTTTATTTGCATAAACTACGAGGAATGGTACTGGTCAAGTGGACAAAGGTACAAGGAGCTAATGGTGTCAGTCGTCTCTATCCAGCCGGGTAGAGGTGCTACGGGCGGAACCACCGGGTCATAGCCCCCGGTGACTGTGAGTATTCTAAACTTAGAAAACCTTTAGGGACCCTTTGATGTGGTTTGTGCGAATCCTTCCTTTAGGTCCCTGTAGTAACTTCAATTTTATTAGGCTTACTTTTAATTGCTCTTAGATCCCTAAACCCCTTTTGCATATACGCAAAGTCCTAAGGGTTAGTAAATAACAAAAAATTTCATCCTATATAACAGTAGTGACACTTAAGGACAATAATTAAGGTCTGAGTTTTAGAAAATCTAGACTTAGGGTGTATGCACACTTTAGGATATAAACATATAACATAGAAAACTTAGTGACCAAAGCCCTACATGGGGTCCTGGTTGGATACCCATTGGGTACCCATGCTTTACTTTGACGGGCTTCACCCACCCACACCCACCCATGATGACTTTCGGGATGCCGTACCACCTATACCCACCCACTTTCCATGCTTGTTGAACGCAGTCTACCACTAACCGATGGCATTGAAGCTTGTTGCCCTTTGCTCTAATTGTAAACTTTCAAGCCGCATATTAGAATTTACCGGAGTCGCAGCTAGCATGGTTAAGTGTTGCACACTACATAGTGAGGATTGAAGTAATATAAGATATACGTTGATTAACAATATAAATCGATTTATCCCTCAATGTTGAGTACCCACCCATACCCACCCACAAGGCCATGGGCGTACCCATACCCACTCATACCCATTGGGTATGGGTGGGTACATGGGTGGGTGTGGGTATGGGTACCCAATGCAGGGCTCACTTAGTGACACCTCACTTTAGGATTAGTGAATTTTTTTAAATTAAATTTAATCAATTAGATAACTTTAGTCAATAATCGACTTAGGACATACCAAAACCTCACAGCCTACTGCACACACTTAGATTTGTTTGGGACAACTGACTCTAGTTTTAGGTTAGGCATGTATTTATTTTCTTATTATTGTGTGACGGGCTTTTTCTCTGTTTTCACTACATGTTGGTTGTAAAATTGTTGGTATGTTGGTTTATTTACTTTTACTGCACTCTATGTTATGATTTGATTGACGATTAGATTTCCCATAGGTTAGGAGCGATCTGGATTGTTAATACGATTTTCTGCAGGTGGCCACACTCGTGCAGGGTAGTAAAGGGGGGCTAATTAATTAATAATAAATAAATGCTACAGATGCTTCAGTTGCTTAGCCCTCAAATGAAGAAGAGTGTGGCCAAATGTGGCTTAATAATTTAAATTCAATTGCATATATATATATATATATATATAATCCCATTTCAAAAATTACTTGCGTCATTCTTAGGATTAGAATCCGGGTTTGTTGTCAGGGGTGCCCGTCCACTTTACTTTTCTGCAAATTTTGGGTGTAATATGGACATTAGACATTTGATATTATAATTTTGGATTATTAAATTGATTGTTTACATTGTTTGTGCAGTTGAATTTTTTTAGGACTCTTGCATGCCGTGTTTTGTTTTAGCCTGGATTCGAATCGGAGAGTTTTTTTTCGTAAGGGTATGTATAAAATTTTTCTACTTGTAATTCTAATAAAAACTTTTAGGCTCACATAGTAATTCTAACGATCTAAGAAGTAAGCTCGGGATCACCGAGAGTCAGCATAAGCATATTATTACTTTCTCTTCCTTGTTAGGTACCTCCCCGCCTGCGGGTTCTAGTAAACCACTTGAACTATGAGAGTGCAGTTCTGTCAAGGGGAAGTTGTGCAATCTCTAGGGAAAAATCTATTTTCTAAGCCTAATTTTAAAACTGCTTCATATTCATTTTATGCATTTGAGTCAATTAGCATGCATTGCATTAGATAAAAATTAAAAAGAGTCTAAAATATTAATAGTATTTCTAGACATTTTTCACCCTACATAAGTTGAGGGGCCAATTAGGATCTATCTTAGATGTCGACCCTCAATTATTTAAAACTTAAATAATATCTCAACCCATCTTTCATAAGAGACTGGACACATGGTTTTAAAGCGCCTAGGTGGTTAGCTGGCTCCCCAATCCAGGCCGGGATAAGTCCAGATTTACATTTCATTAGTTAGGTTCGGTTCACTATTTTATAGTACCCAAATTAGATTTTGGTTTTGAGGCAGATTCTTTTTAGATCTTAAGTCCTCCCCCTCTGGAAATATAATCCCAAATTTCTAATAAAATGTCAACTCAAACATAAAATTTTTTTCTTAAAATGTAAAGCCCAACATAGGATAGACTGAGGTTGCCTCTAAGCTTCTCATAATCTGGCTCCTCCTACTTTTCCTCCATTGACTCGCTAATAAATGTTCAATATTGAGTTTTCTCCTTGAAAATCCCTACTTCTGTTTCCTCTTCTTTTACTTTGTAGTCAGAAGAGTATGAAATTACTGCTTTAATCGAGAGTTTTCTAAGGAGTATCTCTCCTAGGATATAATTAGCTATAGGGGCTTGCTCCTATAGGGATTTGAGAACCCCAGATCAAAATAAACCTTTTTTTATTCTTATAAAACAAGGGAAGAATCTTTGGGAATGCATATATCTTTAAAAAAAACTTTATTTTTGATCATAAATATGCTTGTAGGATATTATTATTATCTTTTCAGATAATATAATGTCTTGTTTGTTATATTTAATTTTAGAAATGATGAATTTTATAAAACTCATTCTTGCTTTTGGATGTCTTAAACAATGTTATGTTCGTCTTTTAAGATAATATAATATTCTTTTTGTTATATCTAAATAAAAGAATGGATAAATTTTTTAAAAAACTTATTTTTATTTTTAAACACATTCTTAAGAATTTCATGTTTATCTTTCGAAATGATATGTCATTCTTGGAATTGTGTTTGATTATAGAAATATTAATTTTCAAAACCCTATTTTGATATTGAATCCATTATAGAATATTGTGTCAATCTCTTGAGATTGTATTTTATTCTTAATACAGTATTCGATTACAAAATAGGAGAAAATCAAAATCTGTATGGTGACATAATTTTTCCCACCAGTTTCCAGTCTCAATAACAGCATTAGCCAACTGAATCCTGGCTCCTCGTCCCAGCTGGACGGTCATCGGCGTGTTCTATAGATCCATCTGCATAAATGAAAGGCAAGGGTTAGTAATCAGAATCTGATACATCACCCCGCACTTTCAAAATGCAGAGACTTGCACAGAACACAAAAACACAAATGGACAAAAATCATTAGCATAAGCAAATAATAAAAATAAATTTAAAACCCTGCTGAATGCCAAATGAATCTGTTGAATAATCATTTTGAAAGATTTAATGTCTTGGGTACGAGTTCATATGACTGCTACTATAGCTTATGAATGACTAGCCATAGATGGAAAGAGAAACAATTCCCCAGCGGAGTCGCCAGAAATCTGTGGGCTCCAAAAATTTGGCCCCGGCCTCCGCTCGCTTTTCTTTTCTTCGGCGAGGGAGTTTTAACTGAATAGGTTTCGAGGTAAATTTTGAAAGACAAATGGGTTTATAGATAAGACACTACCCAGAGATTTTGCCCTCATTTGGTGAGGACTTTATGATATGAGTTCTGGTTTCTTATAGGCGCAAGCCCCTATAGTTAATTACTCCTCCCGATCATGAGAGAGAACTTTTGATTAAGGCTAGTCATCAATCAGATATGTAGAAAATACGTGTTATCTGGCATATAGTAGCAGCAATGGGATTAGGTATTTGGAATTTTGGAAAGTGGTTGGTAATTTAAAGATTTTATATTTAAAGTAAAAATTTTACCATCGTGTACTTAAAGCGGATGGTGGGGGAATGGATGATGGACCCGATAAAGATCCTATGGTTCTGTCATCCCGGGCCATCATGGTCCCTGGTCTACTTAGTTAGAGGAGGTAGTCGACCCAACCTGACAGAAGGATCCTTGTCGGCATCCATGGGTTGCTTGATCCATGGGGACCTTGTAGACCGAGGTTGAATGTTTGTCTAAGGGGACAAATTTGAATCTACCTTATCTTACAGAGGGCTTTGTGCCCTATCGATCATATCATATTGATTCATATCTCAAGGATTTAACGCCACTAAGGAGCGTATTGGCTCTGGCCATAACCGCTATCTGTGGTGCCATTTTGCGGCAAAACCACTCGGTTCAGAGAGCCTCGGGTCATAACCGTTTACCTGCAGTACCATTTGGTGGTAAAACCACTGGTTAGAGGACACGTACCACGTCCTTATTGGCAAGAGATTGTTTGAGAATGGATCCTAGTGATATTTTCGACTAGGCATTTGGCTCTTTGTGAGCTAGAGTAGTTTTCATTTTTGTCCACATCGGCAAACTGTTGCGGAGAGTGGATGATTTTTGCTTTATGTGTTTGATGGATTGATTTTTATTTTAAATATCTGGATTTGAATGACTTTGGATTTTGGATAGTTTGGATGGAGCTTTAGATTTGTTTGAAATGGATTTTGAACTTTCTGTGGAGTTTTGGATTTTTGTGGGAATTTAGATTTTTGTGGGTATTTGGGTGGAGCTTTGAATTGTTTGGATATTTATGGGTATTTTGGGTGGAGCTTTGGAGTTTTTGGGTTTTTGGATTTGGACTTTGTGGAGTTTATATTTTCAGGCATTTGGATGGAATTTGAAAGTATTTGTGAACCACTCCGTTTGAGATAACCAATCAATATGGCCATCATCGGGGTGTTTGGGGGTATTTCCATTTGTAGCTTGAACCTTGTCAACTCAGCCAAGCTATTGACTGAGGATCGGGTTTCGTAGGCTTCGTGCATTTATTAGTGAATTCATATTGTTATAGGCCTTGAAGGCCTAATATGAATGTATTAAGACAAATATGATGGTTGCCACAACCGTATATTTGTTTGTTGGTTCGAACCCTGTCGACTTCTATTGACCTGTATAGAAGGATCGGTTTCGAACCTGAATTAACTTGTCAACCCGCGCAGCATCCCTAGATGTCACGTGTGTACCAATAACACGCTCGTCGGGGCCCATGCGGGTTGAGATTGTATTTTCCCCTTTAGTGTACCTATGTGTATACAATTTATAGTGTACGTGCAGGGGTATTTCGAAAGTATTCATAGACGCCTTCTGTCCGCTTGCATGATTGTTGCGGATCCGGTGGCGTGGCATATTAATGTTACAAGGCATTTTCTCATCTTGATGTTGACTCCCCTTTTCTCATTCACCCGGGGTGATATTTCTGAACTTTGGAATCAATGACTGCTGGTTTGGAAAGAAATCTTTTCAAGATCTTTGGTGTAGAGGACTTGTCATTTCTGGTATTTGCATATATCGAAGCTGTTTTCTTCATGAGTATAGGATCAAGAAGAGGCTTTGGAACACCAAGAAGTTTAGTTCTGATTTATTCAAAAAACACTTCTTTTCTTCTTACAGGAGGTGTTCTTTTTCATATATCGAGTTGCCCTTGTACCTGATGTACTTGTGGATCTTGATCACCACTGTCATAGGTGATACCCATACTTGTGCCCATAGTGGTTCGTTGTGCCTACGAGGTACCCACTGTTGTTATCCACAAGTGATTTATGTTTGCTGGCGGAGGACCGTTGTATCTACTACGACCTCCTAGAAGTATTCGTAGGAGAATCATTATTCTTGCATCCTACCCACCTTTCACCAATCTCAGGTGATTTGATGTATTTGCACTTGTTGCATAGACAGATCTTTGACTACAACAAATGGATAATACTCGTACACCTTGCAACTGTTCATTGCTTGTCACAAGTATTGTGCATTGAGTTTGTAGGGACTGTTGTATCTGCTACGACCTCTTGGAAATATTCGTAGGAGAATCATTGTCCTTACATTACACCCACCTTTCACCAATCTCATGTGGTTTTTTTTTTTTTTTTTTTGAATGATTGCATTTTCTTGTAGGGGCAGATCCTTAAATTGCCGATCTCCAATATTGCCATCTCAATCAACAGGCATCTACAAAGGTTGCCGTAGGAGTGTGTATCAAGGTCTTGTAGCGCATTTTGAGTCACTGTTGATCGTACGAATGCTCTTGTAGTTTGAGTTTCCTTGCACATGATTCAGACTTGAATTCATCAAATCTACAAGTCCCACTTAATGTTGTATAGCACGAGTTCAAGTGCGAACTCAGAGTTCAAGTCTTTGGTTCAACTTGATGTCATTTGCTTGTGTTTGATTTGAGTCTGATTTCATATTCAAGACATGGTTGAGTTTCAAATTCTAGTAGTCTTGAAAGTCCAGTCCCTTATCACTTTAGTTAGTCTTTTATTTGCATTCGTTCAAGTATTGGTCCAAGTACAGTTCAGACTCAAAATGAGTCTCTTCTATCCGTCCGAGCCCCCTGCAGTCTGAATCTTGTTCAAGTTCAATGCTCATTTTCATTTGGATTTGATTTTTTTTATTTCATTTTGATTTTCATTCTGATTTAGGTCCCGAGTCCACCGTTCTTGTTCATGTTCAAACGTCCACTTCCCTTTCTCATTTGGTCCAAATTTTTATTCTTTTTTAGTTCAAAACAGGTCCGAGCGTAGCAACATTTCACCAAAAATTTCGGCAGCCTCCCGACGTCTCCCCCGTTGTGGGGAAAACTACGGAAAAACTAGGCCTCCCGCCACGCTAGAGAAAAGAGTGCACGGTAGGTGCCCTCGGAAGAGGACACCGCGACCAAAATTTATTTTATTCCCCACCACGCCAGAGAAAGGCGTGCATGGGTTGTGGGCACCGGTTTAAAGTAAGCAATTTTAGAATTTACCCCGTCTCGTCGTAGGCGTCGCACCGGGTTCCCTTCCCACCACGCTAGAGAAAAGCGTGCATGAGTTGGTTTTCCGGTCCGCCGCTAACGCCGAAATTAGGGTTTTGATTACCCGTCCCGTCGCAAGCACCGCAACGAATTCCCTTCTCACCACGCTAGAGAAAAGCGTGCATAAGTTGGTCGTTCGTTGCGTTGCAAGCACCGGGAACGGGTTCTCGGAGGTTTAGAGTTTAGGAGTGTTATACCTTAGCAATCGTCGGGGTTGGCACACGGATCAAGGGATCACTCGCCTACCTCGTCGTAGGTGTCGCACCGGGTTCCCTCCCACCACGCTAGAGAAAAGCGTGCATGGGTGGTTTGCCGGTCCGACACGAATGCCGAGGAAGGAGAGGGAGGGGAGCAATTATTATTTTCTTTTTTAACATTATAATTAACCGTAATAATTAATATAATTAATTATAACTAATAATAGTTAATTAGAATTAATTAATAATTAATTACTATTTAATGACTAATTAATTACTATTAATCAAAACTAATCATACTTAATTATATTAAATAATAATTAAATTATAATTAATACAAATTAATTAAAATTAACTACTAATTATTATTATTAATTAATAATTATTTGAGGATTACAAGGGATTTAGATTAAATCACATTAAACAGAGAGCTAAACTCTCTGTTTTTCACGAGTTCAGCAGTCATAAAGGGATTTGGCCAAAGAAGAGCGCTGAAAGGAGAAAGTTACTTATACAACCCGCGAGCTCGTGTTGTTGTTTCCTATCGGGGAGAGAAAAGGCGACGGGAGAAGGAGGCGGAGGAGTTTGGACAGAGCTCGGTCGGCAAGGGAAGGAGGTCGGGCGACCGGACTTGAGTAGGTGAGGTCGGCAATGGGAGCTGAGGTTCGGTCGGGTATGCAAATCCTCTCTCTCTCTCTCTCTCTCTCTCGGGATCGGAAGGAGAACGGGCAAGGTTCGGAAGAGGCAGAGGAGAGGGGAGCTCGATCACTGGGTTCAGTCGGGTGAGAGGATTGGCAGGAGGATTTCGGGCAGTAGCGATGGAGTCGATCGCGTGGGAGGAGCGAATGAATCCCGAAGGCTTCGTTTGGTCGTTGTTTTAAAGGCGTCGAAGGGCATCGTTCGATGTTCTGCGAGGGATTTGCGGCAGGTGACTGATTCGGCGCTGTCTCGGCAGGATTTCGTGCAGGATTTCGGGAGATTCGGTCTGCTTCTCGATGCATACGAGGTATGTAATAATAATTTTTTTGTTATTACATAGAGGTTAACATAAGTATTAATATTTAATCTTGTTGTTAAAGGATTTGAGTTAGCAAAGTTCTCAATGCAATATTTAGCATGCTTGTTGATGGAGGATCCAATGACTCATTGACTTGACAAAAATGATTCCGCTAGCATAGTAAAATCCGCCGGAAATACCGATGAAAAAC